GAATTATAACTTTTTTTTCTCTATGGTTAAACTGGATGGACTTTTGTCTTTTTTCAGCCAGACTAACTATGTAACTATGTAATGGAGATGTGCACACATTTTTTGTGCTACATATTTGTTTTTGTATTTATTATGGTGCATTAGAAAGTTAATTCAAGTGTGTACTGATGCATTTTGAAGGTGTAAATGGACCCTTAAGTAATATAACAAAAAGGACTTTAACAGTGTCCAATAGAGCTAATAACCTTAATCAGTTATTTGGAGCATCTAAAATACATTTTCATACACGGATATTTTTTTGTCCAATCCTTTGATAGTAAGGTGATGGTGACATATTGGGGTTGATTTACTAAAACTGAAGAGTGCAAACTCTAGTGCAGCTGTGCATATAAACCAATCAGCTTCCAGGTTATATTGTCAAAGCTTAATTGAACAAGCTGAAATTAGAAGCCGATTGGCTCAAATGCACAGCTGCACCAGATTTTGCACTATCCAGTTTTAGTAAACCAACCACATTGCATGTTGAAAGTAGTAATAAAGAACTGGGTCTTTCTACTACGGTTGTTAGGTAGCACTTTTAAGTGGTTGTAAGCTAGCACTTTTTAAGCAGCTACAGCAACAGTTTATTTTATTCCTAGGAGCTTTACATGAATGCATAAAGGGTCTACATAAATAAACATGTTACAAAGGTAAGCGAATAAACAAACAAATAAAAGCTGTAAGAGCTGACCATTGTAAGCACCCCTGTAAATGTTAAATAGTTTGGCTCAGCCCTCTAACTGGCACTTTTGCTGCACAGCTTGGTCTGTTAAAGGAAGTTGGAAAAAAAAAAAAAAAGATTACAGATCAGAAAAAATAAAGGAAAAAGCCAAAAAAAAAACTAATGCACCACTACACCTAAGGATTTAAAAGCTGCAATATATTTAATTTTTGGTTTTGGGTATAACAGTGTTATAACCTCCTCTTGCTGGCTGTACTTATATATGCGGACACTCGGCGGGTGGGCCTTAATGGTGAGAGGCCGCATATGTGCGTAACAAAATGTAAACAATGCAATGCCAAGAGCGTGCACGCTCCCGCCACAGTTACTGATGACTGACAGAAAACTCACGATTTCTATTTGTGATCGGGAACTTTCCAACCATGTGACTGCTGTGACAGCCAATCATGGTGGTCACATGACTTAAATTCCCACCTCCACCTCCCGGCATCTGAATCCTCTTAAAGTGCTGGGAGGTGTGGGCTCGAAATCTTTTGCCCCCCTTTCCTTCATAACTCCTTCTTCACAGTAGTGTACTCCACTCCTCTGCCCCCACCCACAGTAGTGTTCTCCCCCCATTCACATCAACCTCCCCCCGCACACACTGTACTGTTTTCTGCCCCCCCATAGCAGTGTCTTCTGCCCCCTTCACATTACCTCCAATGTAGTGTCCTCTGCCCCTCTGCTCCCCCCCAAAGCAGTGTCCTCTGCCCCCTTCACATCACACTCCCCGCCAAAGTAGTGTCCTCCACCCCCTTCACATTCCCCCCCACTGTAGTGTCCTCTGCCCCCTTCACATCACCCCCCCAATTGTAGTGTCCTCTTCTCTTCTCTCCCACAGTACTGCCCTCCTATAGCAATGTCCTCCTCCCCCCATAGTAGTGTTCTCTACCCCCTTCAATGTCTAGCCCTCCCGCATAGCAGTGTCCTCTGCCCCCTCCCCCACGGTAGTGTCCTGTGTCCCTTCAAAGTACTGTCCTCTGGCCCCCTATAGCAGCTTTCTCTGCCCCCCCCCCCAGTAATGTCCTTTGCCCCTTCCACATCATCCCCAAACACAAACACAGCAGTGAGTAGGTAGGAATCTCCTAACTTACAATGGGTGTACAGACAGCAGACTGTAGAGTGGGAAGCAACATAGTAATGGACGGAGGGTGGGAGCTGCAGGACTTAACATTTCATATCGACAAGCTAGTGACTGATTGCTAGGACCGTCCAACTTTCTATCAACCAATCACCTGCTGGTTAACTGCAGCAGCTCTTGCCCACCATCCAGTACTGTGCTGCCTCCTATCCTCCACTCTGCTTTGAAGATGAGAGTGGCGAGGACTGAGGGTAAGGAACGGCAAAGCTGTGTTTCATGATCTACCTGTCAGCTACTGGTGGTCGACAAGTAGATTGTGTTTGACAGGTTGCTGACCCCCAATCTTGCACCTTTAGAGTTATATTATACCCAAAACCAAAAATTTATTTTATTGCAGCTTGCAAATCCTTAAATGCGGTGGTTGCATTTCACTATGTAGCAAAACAACTTACCTTAGGGTGGTGTTTAAGAGCACGCAGGAGTGCATTACCAAAGGTTTGTTGTATAAAAGAAAACATATGGCCTAATGGATACTCCCAAAAATAAATGATAGTATCCTATTGGCTGTATGTTTTGTTTTATACAATAAACCTTCGGTAATGCACTAGGTGCGTGCGCACTCCTGGGTGCTCTTTTACAGTACTCTACTAGATTTCCCGATTTGAAGAGGGCTGCATCAATGAAGCATACCCGAAAGATGTTATTCCATAGTTTTTGATGATCCACTGCACAAGTAGACTTGGAGGCAGAGGCGCTGGAAGTGTTTTGTGCAGTTTGTGTGATGTTTGCTTACAGGTAAACTAGTATTTTTTTTCAAAGAGCACATATTTTAAGTTATTAATGTAGTATTTACATTAGTTTATATGTGACTTTCATCTATTTACGGATTTCATTGCATGAGAATAAGAAATACAGAATAGCAAAACTATTGCATAGTGCTGGAAAGCAGGAAGCAGTACCTGCATATGTAATGAGTAAATATGTACAGTCTGCATATCATTACAATTTTTTGTTTAAAACATTAACTCATTTGGATATGATGCTGTATATCAAGTTGATCTATTTTACATTTTTCTCTAATAATAATAAAATAGCCATGCATTCATATTTACTTTTACCGTATTTACTCACCTTTTTTTTTCTTTTTATTTGAATCCAATAATCCAACAAATATTTCGACATCCCTGAGAACATGATTTAACACTTCCTGATGTGGAGAAAAATATAAAACAAATTAGCATAGTATTGTAAGCTATAACCTATTACTATTGTTATTGCTTGTAAATGCAAAAATGCTACATAGTTATATGTGTACATAACTCTGTACTATACAGAAAATGTTACTTTCAGATATTATAAGCCATTGTATCAGTTTTATGATTTACGAATAGGGTTAAATGAAGAGAATCTGTGACCTTTTAAAGGACAATTTTACTTTTAGTGAGGTTTCCTTTTAAATAAATTGCCCCGTCCGCCTAAAATCCCACTTGGAGTAATATCTACCTTCCTGCCTGACCCTTTACTAAGAAGAAATTGTCCCTCTAAATATATTATTTTTTCATACAAAGATACATAGTTTGTAAGGTTGAAAAAGACACAGGTCCAGCCAGGTCAACCTATATGTGTGTGTACATGTTACACATGCATTGTGTGTTTGCCTTTAATAATTTTGTCCCTACCTCACTCCATAGCTAGGGGATGCTCTATGTAGTTATTCCCACACTTCGTCATTCCTTACCTTCCATATATGTACTGAATTCTGCTGGAGATAGGTAAAAAAAAAATCATGTCTTACCTATCTCATGCTCATCTGTTATGATTTGCACAGGTTTTGGTTGAAAGCTTTCTACAATCTGCAAGATGTCATTTGGATAATTTATAGGGATCAGACTTTCAGTGCCTAAAATACGAAGGCAGAATAGTGTATGTGATTTTTATTCTCTAATAATTCTCATTGTCCTATATATTCTGCTTCCAGAAGAAGACATCTAAACGTTTTTTTTGAAGTTGTCTAAACTCTCACCTGGTATTGCTTCCTGGGGAAGGGAGTTATACATCTTAACTGCTTAAAAGTAAAGGTTAAACCTACTTTCTTCTAACCTCAAATTTAAATCTCTAAACCCCAAATACAGTTCCAAAAATATAACTCTTCTTAAATTTTAATCACCCCTAAATATTTGTCAGCTTCTCCAAACCTCTCCTGCTTGCTGTTTGTTAATAAATTAACGAAGCACAAACTGAGCAAGAAAGTATGATCTGGATGTATTGGAAAAGATTTCCCTATGCACTAACTGAAACAAGCACTGACTCTGCATGGAGTCAAACAAGAGGGTCTGCATGATTTTCAGGCAACTAGTATTTCGCTGCATGTAAATAAAATATATTTACATCAATAAAACAATACATCAACACATCAATAAAACAATACATCAACACATCAATAAAACAATACAAATATCATGGTGATAAAACTACAAGTTAATGGAGTACCCATTACACAAATAGTGTAAATCATATATGTATCACCGTTCTCAGGTTTCTAAAGTGCTGGTGCTTAACAAAATTAATATAAATCAAAGAAAGTCCATAACAATATTAGTGTTCATTTAACACAGGTATGTGCAAAAAAATCCACTTTTATAAAATGTTGGTGCTTCACACATGTAAAAGAGAATTCCCAGTAGTTCAGGATTGCTAATCGAATTTGTTTGACCTCTCATTACAAGATGGGTACGGTGTGTAATGATGCTATATAGGTGGAGAGATGGATGACTTCCTGGTCCCTATACTATTCCTTCATGGATTCATTAAGTAAACTACAGAAAAGGGCTCATAGCCTGCAGTATTTGTCTCTAAACTTCTGTACTATTGCAAAAACTCTCCGCTATAACAAATCCAATGTTTGCAGACCCCTTTCATGTGTGTTTTAAGGGTTACAGTGCCTAGCAATGCCCAAAATGTTTTGCCACATCAGACTTCATTAGGAGACGATGGTGAGAGATGAGGAAGTGAGTGGCAGAAAGATGAAGGGGTGCAGAGGTGAGTTGCGAACATGAGGTGCAGGGGTAAGTTGTGGACAGGAATCTAAAGGTGAGCTGCAGACATTTTTGGATCAGGGCGCAGAGATGAGCTGTGATCAAGGAACTGCAGAGGTCAGCTGTGGGGTGGGGGCGTGAGTTGTGAATAGGTGCTGCAACAGAAAGTTGCAAACGGGGGTACAGAGATTAGTTGCAGACAGGAGTGCAGAAGCAGGGGCGGACTGACAACTCATGGGGCCCCCGAGCAATAGGGGATCATGGGGCCCTGTGTCCTTTCCCAAACTCAAAAAAGCCTATGAAAAAAGGTACCAGGGGCATCTCATGGGGCCCTCTACTGACCCCGGGCCCTCGGGCAGTGCCTGGGTTTCCAAATGGTCAGTCCGCCCCTGTGCAGAAGTGAGCTGTAAACAGGGGCACAGAGGTGAGCTGCACACAGCTGTGGACAGGGGTGCAGAGGTTAGTTGTTGACAGAGGTACAATGGTGAGTTGTGAACAGGGGTGCAAAGATGGAATTATGGATGGTGGGGTGCAGAGGTGAACTTTTGACAGGGGTGCATAGGTGAGATTAGGGCAGGTGACAGAGGTGAGTTGTGGACAGTCGGGGGCAGAGGTTAACAATGCCCTTTAAGACCTGCCCACAGTGCAATTTGGGCATATGTAGATTTCACACAGCATCCCAACTTTTTTTAATATATATATATATATATATATATATATATATATACATACACACACACACACACACACACACATGTACACACAGATATATAATATGTCTAAGGTGGAGATACTCTAACAGCAATGAAAAGAGTGTATTTATCGATGGTACCAAAGTAATTCTTAAATGAAACCTACAATATCACGTGCTATCTCGTCTCCTTGGTTGAAGTCTGGTGACGGAGTACGAGATGGTGGCTGGAAATTTACAGGTCTTCGATCAAACTTTTTCTGTGAAAGAGGTGAATCTACAATAACAATAAAACACATTAGAAACTTACAGTTACACAGAACATTTTTCAGACAGATTAATAAAGGCTAAACTGAGCCACAACCTTTTTTCTTTTGGATATAGTAGGAAAGGGTTTCTGCTGCTTTTGTCCCTATTTCAGTGACTCACTTCTATGGGGACTCAAGCAAAAAAAAAAAAAAAACACTTCTATGCCAACTTTTATTGGGAGACAGGAATTAATTTGTCTATGAATGAAGTATAGTACTGGAGGTTTTAGCACTATGCAAAGAAAGGGCATAGTCCTATCTAGTGAATGTATACCTGCAGATGCAGTACAAGCTCAGTTTAGCTTTGTGTCCTTAGGAGGAAGGACATCTCTCTCCAGCTCTGACTTTCTTGCTGAAACTCCTATCGAGCATCTGCTGACATAATTGGGCCCTGCTTCAGGTTGCAATATTTGTGAAACATCTCTCTTGCTGTGCTGCACTCTGCCTTTCCTACATGGCCTGTCTAAGTAGGGGGCAAAGCAAAAACTTTTTCCTGTGCAGTGGTGTACTGCCAACCCCAGTGAGTACTTATTACCAAGTAACTTAGTACTTCTCCCAAGGTCAAATGTTTGCCATTTATTTTACCTATGTATGTCTTTGCTGCATGTACTGAATTTCTGATTAATTTCTCGTCAGATACACTCACCCATACTTTAACTTACTTTGGTAACATGTCTGACATCAAAAACATGATCATGATTAAGCTGGCAGAACTTCACTTTGGGCCCTGTTTCCTGCCTGCTCTGTAAGCAACTGTATATATTTGATAGCACTCAAAAACATGTAGCTCCTGCTCTGACATATCTACAGTACTTCTGTTACTGCAGCTGATCTTTCTCTGGATCCCTCCAGTGTGATTGCGGGTCAGCATGTCCACATAAGACTATTTTTTGACTCCCTGTGCGTGCTGATGTCTTGCTTCCTGTCTGTGCCGGTATGTGAGCTTGCAGAGAACATTTTTCAATGTTTATGTTTGCTTTGGAAATGTATTTGCACAATTAATGTTTCATATATGTATATTTTTTTTTTTTGTTAAGGCAATTGATTCTCTGCATCCAAGTTCTACGATCCTGAAGAAGCTAACAAGCTAAATTTGTCGACTTTTTGGAGAACAAAATGCTATAGAGAACATTGTTGATATACTGGCTAGCCATGTGTTGTTCTTAAACATATTTTTATGATGTACTTAATAAAATGTGCAATTTTATAAATGCGAGCCTGTACTATACTGTACCAGTAAAGTCCCATAATGACTGTTAAGGGTCTCTTTATTATGGTTAGCATTTGTGGCTTTCATTTGCTACATTTACCTCATTGATACTAGAGGGCATTAGGTCTTAATTGTTGCAAGTTGAAACAGCCCCTTTGCTCTCCTGATTCACACTTTGATTTTAACTTATGAACTCTTTCTGCATGTGCATGAAACCTGCTCTGAATCTTTCCCTTCCCTGAGCAAAAAATGAACTGTCAGAGCAAAACATCCTTTAACATATTATAGCCATGGACAGTATTATTCAGGAAGTGACTGAGATTGAAAAAGGCCCTTGAATCCATTTATCCAAGGTTTAGCGACTATTCTATTCTGGGCTCAGCTAGTAAAGCCACACTACCAGGGGCGGACTGACCATTTGGAAACTCGGGCACTGCCCGAGGGCCCAGGGTCAGCAGGGGTCCCCATGAGATGCCCCTGGTACCTTTTTCATAGGCTTTTTTTGAGTTTTGACAAGGACACAGGTGCCCCATGATCCCCTATTGCCCAGGGACCCCATGAGTTGTCAGTCCGCCCCTGCACACTACTATACCAAGGCACCTCTGCAAAGTGTAGGCCCTAACTCTAGTCTAACAGTGCTTCCATCTTTGAATTCCATCTGACTTTTCTCCATTCTTAAGCTTTTTTCTACCCTCTATCCCTTTCCTGTGGAATAGGTTAAGAAGTGATTTACTCTACCCTCAAAAAGTCCTGGTAATTCCTGTTGCTCATTTACTTCCTTTAAGGAAATTGCTGAGAAAACTTAAGAAAATAACTCTCTTGGCTGTTTTTCCATTACTGGTTCCTTGGACAGAAAGTCCAACTGTCTACATTTATGAATTTAAGTGAATTTATTTAGGACAGAGAGGTTTAAAAATAAAACAAAAAAACAAACAACAACACTTGGCCATTTACTGCTTTCATTCTTTTATGTTTCTCTAGGTGGAACATACAATGCTCAAAAGTTTGCACACCCTGGCAGAAAATGTGAAAATTTGGCATTGATATTGAAAATATGACTGATCATGCTAACAAAAATGTCTTTTATTTAAGGATAGTGATCATATGAAGCCATTTATTATCACACAGTTGTTTAGCTCCTTTTTAAAGCATAATGATAATAGACATCAATCAAATGGCCCTGATCTAAAAGTTTACATACCCTGAACTGTCTGGCCTTGGTACAGACACACAAGGTGACACATATCAGTTAGAATTGGAATTAAAGGTTAATTTCCCATATCTGTGGCTTTTTAAATTGTAATTAGTGTCTGTGTATTTAAATAGTCAATGAATTTGTTAGCTCACGTGAATGCACTGAGCTGGCTAAATACTGAGGGAGCAGAAAAGGACTCTCAAAAGACCTGCGTAGCAAGGTAATGGAACTGTATAAAGATGGAAAAGGATATAAAAAATATCCAAAGTCTTAAATATGCCTGTCAGTACTGTTCAATCACTTATTAATAAGTGGAAAATTCAGGGATCTCTTGATATTAAGAAAAAGTCAGGTAAACCAAGAAAGATTGCAGCCACGACTGCCAGAAGAATTGTTTGGGAATCAAAGAAAATCCCACAGGTAACCTCAGGAGACCTACAGGTTAGTCTGGAAAAAGACAGCATGGTTGTTTTAAGGAGTACAGTATGACAGTACTTGAACAAAAGTGAGCTGTATGGTCAAGTTGCCAGAAAGAAGTCTTTGCTGTGGAAACGCCACAAAAAAAGCTGGTTACAATATGCCCGAAAACAAACACTTGACATGCCTCACAGCTTCTTGCACACTGTAATATGCTATGTATCATGTACCTGGATAGTGAACATGATTTGAAGAGGAAGGCTTCTCGAACAGCTCCGACATGGGGGCCACTGACAGTGGAAGAGTAGCCGCAAGAGCATGGCGCGGTTTGGGTGCCTGTGATCAGTCCAGTAGTCTGTGCTGGTAGTAACCAGTACTTCACTGTGAGAATGCCAATGAACAGAAACAAGATCAGCTGACAGCAGGCAGGATGGGCCACTGACAGACTGGCTGGCACAGTGCTTGGCTGGTGGCAAGGTGCGGATGCACGGTAGGAAACATAGAAAAGTGACGGCAGAAAAAGACCTAGTGGGGTTTACTTTTTTTGTTTGAGTATAGATCCATGTTTGTCCCAAGCATGTTTGAAGCTATTTACTGTTGAATTGCTCACTACCTCTGCTGGAAGTTTATTCCAAGCATCAACAATTCTTTCAGTAAAATAGTACTTTCTGAGATTAGCTTTGAACTTTCCTCCAGTTACTTTAAGGTCATGTCCCCGTGTTCTTGATTTTGGTTACATGTTGAAAATACTGCTCTCCTGAACCTTATTCACCCCCTTGATGTATTTAAAAGGTTTCAAATCATGTCTCCCTTTTCCCTTATAACTCCAGATTGTACATGTTAAATTCCTGAAATCGCTCTTTAGGTTTTATCCCCCAGACCTTTCACCTTTTTTGTTACCTGTCTCTAGACTCGTTCTATTTTACCAATATCTTTTTGTAGGTGAGGTCTCCAGAACTGGACACAGTATTCTAAATGAGGTCTAACTAAAGATCTATATAGGGGAATCAGGACTTCCTCCCCCCTACTTGTGACTCCTCTAGTGATTCATCCTAGAATTCTATTTGCTTTCCCCACTGCCTGGCCACACTGTTTGCTCATTTTGCAATCATTTGAAATAAATACCCCCAAGTCCTTTTCCTCTGTAGTGCTGGCCAACAATGTACGTGTCATTGATGCGGGTGTGACCAGAAGTGTGTGGACTGACATAACGTAGGCTTCAGATATAGTAAATATTATAATTTATTGAGACTAACAATACAAATATAAACGCAGTGCACTGATATAGATACACAGGTACATACACATATAGAGCACAACGTAGTCAGGCAGGCCGGGTCGATAAACTATCGGGCAGGTAGGTACAGGAGAGCAGGCGGAGAGAATGGTCAGGGTCACAAGCCAGGGATCAAACAGGAGAAGTCAGTGGAGGTCAGGATCAGGCAGGGTCGGCAACAAGTCAGGCAGAAACAGGAACAGCAATGCAGGATACAAGATACAGGGGCCCATGGAAAAACACACACCAAGGCCCTGACTGTGAGTCTGGCCATTCCTTAAATACAACCCCTGCAATCAGCTTCAGGTGTTTTGGCTGACTGCAGGGGTGAGTCT